CCGCCACCCCCTACCTGCCAAAGTTGTAAAGTTCGTTTTTGGACATAACGTCTTGTACATCTATCATTGTTGCAATGGATCCACCTGCATCCCTATTTAAACAATTGTTTTTTTCCCTTCCCCTTCACAAATTATACCAACATCAAATACAGTGAAAACAGGGGTTATCTTAAGATACATAATTTCCTCTTAGCTAGTTTTAAAATTAGAAATGACAGGCTGGGAAGGTGGCTCAGTTGTAGAGTGCTTGCCTCTTATGCATGAGGTCACCCTGGGTTAGATTCCTCAGCACCACAAAAAGCAGAAGAAGAAAAAAAAGCTGGAAGCTGTGGCTCCAAGTGGTAGAGAACTGGCCTTGAAAAGCTGAGGGACAGCGCGTTGGCCCAGAGTTCAGGCCCCACGACCAACCAAAAAAAAAACTAAAAATGACATATTTACAATTTTTAAAACTAAAATATTATTTAAGTATGTTAGAAAATTCTACTTCCTTGTTCAGTATTAAAATCCCTTGTATATCTAGTCAGAAATTTTCTATATATACACAAACTTCTATTGTATATGCCTATCTTTTTAACAATTAGGATTTTTATTAAATAGCAACTAATACTAAGGATAATGTAATGGATGATTTAAATAATAACAGTAGGCTGAAAGTCTAGTACTGACTACTTAGATTTAGGAATAGAATGTGTACAATACTTTTGAAGATATTCAGACTTTTATGGATGTCATTTCTCTTCCATCACCTGGTAGTAAATACTATCTTCAATTCTCAGTGTGTGCCTTTAGTTTTTCCTGCCAAATAATTTTGTTAGATAAATAATGTATGTCTGAATTTTATAGTGTTTAGTATTTTAATGTGTATGATAAAATTTTATTCATCATTTTAACTTGATGCTAGTTTTAAATTTACTCATCTATTGGATCTTATCGGTACTCCTTCATTAAGTCTATTTTTCTTCCATTTTTGTTTTATTCATTTTGGTTATTTTAGTGGTTACTGTGGACATTGTGTGTGTGTGTGTGTGTGTGTGTATGCACGCATGTGCACACGCTTGTGTGGCTGGTTACGCATGCAAGTTTGATGGTCTTGGGGCTTGAACCCAGGGATTTAGCAATGTCCCTGAGTTTTAAAGCTCAAGGATAGTTTTCTACCACTTGAGCCACAACTCTAGCTTTTTTGTGTGGTGAATTGAAGGTAAGAGTCTCACAGATTTATCTGCCTAGGCTGGCTTCAAACTATGATCCTCAGACCTCAGCCTCCTGAGTAGCTAGTATTTCAGGCATGAGTTACCAGTGCCCGGCTTTATTCTGGATATGCTTGACAAGAAGTGTACTCATTACCTAACTTGTGTAAGGTACTCTGTACAGCATCTCTACCATAAAATAAAATTTTTAAAAATAATTTTTTAAAAAACATTTTGAGTTCAATTGCTCCCCTTTCCAATTTTCATTAATTAGAACCTTACTTACCTTTTAATCCCATCATCCAGACATTGATGATTCTGTTATACACAGTTTATGTAAGTGAACCTAATGTTTTTGTTGTTTTCTTGTTTGGGTGGTCCTGGGGTTTAAACTCAGGATTTATGCTAGACATGCCTTCTAGACCTTTTGGCTTTTATTATTTGTTGAATAGGGTTTCAATTTTCGCTTGGGCCAGCCAGGGCTATGATCCTCCTACTTATGCTTCCTCTCAGGCTGGCATAGGTTTGCAAACTATCACATCAAGCTTCTTTTTGTTTCAGATGGGGTCTCAAGAACAGTTCGAGACTATTGTTCAGCTGTGATCCTCGATTTCAGCCTCTCCAGTAAGTAGAATTAATGATATAAGCCATCATACCTGGCCTGACTAAGTTTGTTTATTTTGGTACCTTGAAGATCTATTTGACCTTTTTCTGGCTTGCATGATAAACATTTCAAAATCACTTAATCTTTAGTGTACTATGATTATATTTTGAAGCATTTTTATGTGGACCTCATTACCTATTTTACACATTCTGTAAAGTTAGGAATATGTCTTTGGCTATTGCCTTTTCTTTTTTAGTACTGCCTTTTTCTTAATTCTATCAGTTCTTATGATCTTTCTCATTTTAGTCTTATTGTCTTTATCTTCAAGTTTTCTATCTCTTGGTATATCTGTGTTTCAGTGTGTATAATTTTTTTAGCTCTAACATAGTACACTAATAAATCTTTTTAGTTGTGTTTTATTCTATCATTGAGTCTATTCATTTAAAATTTTAATATTGTAATTTTTATTTATCAAAGGCCTGCTTTTGTTGTTTCAAAGCATTCTGGTCATCTTCTATAGAGTCTTGTGGTAAAACTTTCATTTCTTTAAAAACATCCGCTTTCAGACTCTCTTAAAAGCTAAATTTGTTATTTGTTGTATTTATAGACTTATGCTATGATGGTAGTCTATTTCTTGTTTGTTAATGATTTCTTGTTTGTTGTGAGGTCATTTATGAGATGTTTGTCCTGAAGCCTGAATGTAAGTTGTGCTACTTTATTAAATTGCCTGGGGTTCCTGTCAAACTCAGAATAAACTTTTACTGAGATTTTAGCAGAACAATGAATTGAATATAAAGACATAGTGTCCTATTTCCAGTCAGACTCTTCTAAAACTTCTTACTGACTCTTCTCTGAGTGATTTTTTTTTCTAATTTTGATGAGAATGAAAACATTTGTATACAGGGACTTAGGAAGATGTTTCCTTTTGAACAGTCAGTTCCTTCTCCCTAATATCTGCCACGGTCAGTTTCAGAACTGAACCTCAAGAATCTGCAATATAGGGAACCCGCTGAATCAGAGATCATTTCTTTCTCTGAATTCCAATGAGCTTTATTGCTTTCACTTCTGGGAATTTTGCAATGTATATTACATATTATATATATATATTTATGTATATGTATATAGCCTAGATATATTCATATTACATATATTTATATGTATATAGCCTAGATATATTTATATTATATATATTTATGTATATGTATATAGCCTAGATATATTTTACTATTCCTAGTGGGAAAACTTTTACTCACAATGCTACTAGAAATTAATATCATTTGTTAAGGGGTTTTATTGGTGTTGTCTGTCTATATATCTGTCTATTTGTGACAGGATCTCACCATGTAGCTCAGGACAGTCTTGATCTTGATTTTTTTCCTTCCTTAGTCTCCTGAATGCTGGAATACAGACATAGGGCAACATAGATATCTCTGTAGGCATTTATTAATAACAATAATCTTTCATACATTTTTTGTCGGTCGTGGGCCTGAACTTTGGGCCTGGGTGCTGTCCCTCAGCTATTGAGCTCAAGGCCAGCGCTCTACCACTTGAGCCAAGTGCCACTTCTGTTTTTTTCTGCTTATGTGGTACTGAGGATTCAAACCCAGGACCTCATACATGTGAGGCAAGCACTCTGCCATTGAGCCACCTTCCCAGCCCCAATCTTTCATACTTGTACATAAATACATTCCTTCATTTAACAATATTATTTCATCATCTTCTCATATATCTATAAGTTTGCCTTATCTCCTTTGAATTGCCTATTCGTAAATAATAGAGATAAATACCACGTATTTAACCCACCTTTACTGATGATATTTAGGTTGTTTTCAGTATTTCAGCATTACCAGACAAATACTCATCTATCATTTCATATTACATCTAGATTAAATGTATACAATGAGAAATTGATAAGTGAAAAGATATGTTACTTAAATTTTAATGCATATGATCAAATTTTCTTTTCAGAGTTTGCAACAACTACTTTGAAAAGGAGAAAATCAGTGTGCCTATAACCTCATTGCCCTGTCGACATTGAACTGTATTATATCTTTATCCACATTGAACTTTAGTATACATTTGATAGTTTGTTTCTTACCACTAATTCCATAGAATTAGCAAGTATTACACAGTTAACAAGTATTGCATAGCGTGGTTTTAATACTAATAGGTATTTTCTGTGCAAGATGAAGAACTGAAGCTTTTTATTTTTCTCATGTGCAACTCTAAAGTATTTCTGCACAAAGAAAATGCCAGTAGATTTCTTTTCTGATTGTGATTGTCCTCACTGTTCGAATGGTGTTCAGAGCGATTCTGAATGGAATCTTGATTCCAGGAGTAGAAGTCATGACTCCTTACCTTATCAATCAAGGAAGAAATCCAAGCCTTCTCCCAGCACACAAAACTTACTTTTGCAAGGTTGTTTCCCCAAGTTGGAGGACGAGAACAAAGAAGATCCAGTGTTTGTTCCCACCAAGAAGACAAGCTCTATGGGGTTTTCTCAAAAACATTACCTTAGTCTAAGCCCTGAAGATGTCAAAAAGAAATTGAAACCATTGAGAGAACTCACTATTCAAGATTTACTAAAGGAGTTTGGGGATTGTGGGAACTTCCAACCAAACTCTATGTCTCTGGGCCACTTGAGAGATCAGGTAGTTATGAAGTTCAGAAGGGCTCTTTATTATTCTGGGATATGGGTGAAACATGTCCAAGGCTGCAAATTGGATAAACAGTTGACCGCTAATTATTTCAAAACAAATCCTGGAAGTCTACACCGGCTAGTGCCCTGGCTGAAAAGAGAACTAACAGCTGTTTATGGCAATTATGGATATACAGTGAAGAATATTCTAGATGCTGTCCTTCATCACATGACAGAATATGATTTGGACAGTGATTCCTTTATTCACCTTCTGGAACCTTATCTCCTACAACATACCCATCATTTCCTGCATGAGTTTATCACTTTTGTTCGTTCACCTTACAACATAGAAACCTATGACCAGCGAGCCATCTATCAATGGACTCCTACCTCCACATGGGTGCAAAATAAGCCCAGGGATTCAGCTCCTGTTTATTTTTGGCCTGAGGGTTGTGCTCCTAACGCATCTCAGCATGACACGAAGCAGTCTCAGAACACCCAGGTTCAATGGAATAGTGAAGAGAGGCCTCAGTCTGGAAAGAAACTATTCCCAAATGGCCACTCTTCCTTCAAAAATACGAGAATTCCACTGGCCCATCAAGAAACAGCAGACAAAAGCCACATTTGTACCAAAGACAAACTAAAACCAAGTGATCACAAAGGCATAGTTTCTAATAACAATAATAACAATAATATGGTTATTACTTGGGCTACCTTAAGGAAAAGAGTTCGAGGTTACAAACACTGTGCTCAAGAGAAAAAGGAAGAAGGGATGAAATTGTTTCCTGGCCATGATCTACACAAGAATGAAACAACTGACTACAACTTCAGTATTCCAGAAATTTCCAATGAAGTGCAACCTCCCAAGTTCACTGCAAGAGAAGAAAAGGCTGTGAGCACTTGCCAGAAGATACATTTGCACACAAAAGAAGGAGAAGAAAACAAATGCACTAAATCTTCACCCAAGAGTTTTCGGAGATGCTCTAGAGGAAGATCCTTGACAAAGTGCAGATGCAGAGAAAGAGACCGTTTCTGGAGTTGCCCTTCAGAAAAATTCTTTTCTCCAATGAGAAGTGGTAGAAAGCTGAGTTCTCACAGAAAAAAGAGAAAAGAATGCAGACGGTCCCCACAAGTTGCCAAATTTGGTTCGCATTTCAGTAGAAGAACCCAAAGGCAATCCAAATGCAGTAATCGCAGATCCAAATCCTGGACCTGTGTTGAACCTAGAAAGAGATCTCTAAGCAGAGAAGTGAGTAATCGCTCTCTGGGAGAAAGTTGTGCAAGTGAGCATTGCTGCCAGCATATGTGCTGTCGGTGGTCAAGAGAAAAGAATGCACATGTCTATGAAGCAAGTAACAGAAGAGCCTCTTTGTCCCCATTCCAACTCATGAAGCTTCCATCGACTTGTAGGAAGAAGCCTGACTTGCCTTCTAAATGTCAAGGTGCTTCCCAAACTAGAAGCACTTGTAGCAGCCTCACTGGCCCACAGACTGGGATACGTAGATCCCTCAGTAACCAGGAGATGAAGCCCCAAATATTGTTTCCTCAAGCTAGAAATATTAGGTACAAGAAGACAGAATGCCAGTTTACAGATAGCCTGATGGAGGTGACTGGTGCATCCAGGGACCGGGGTAATGAAAGGGAAGGGAACAATCTTTCTGAATATGTACCTTTCTGCAGGAGGCAAATCCAAAACTGCCAGAATTCATGTCATAAACATGGAAGAGTCAAGAAGGAACAGAGGTGAGACATGGCATCAAGAGAAAAAAATGGGAGAAAGCAAGGGAAGGGGTGACACTGTTCAAAACGAAATGTACTCATTACCTGAACTGTGTAACCATAACCCCTCTGTACATCCTCTTTACAATAAAAGTCAATGTAGATTTCATCACATCACTTTGTATCTGAAACTAAAAGGCCTGATAACCCAATTATAAGCTCCTATTGGAAACAAATGCATATTATTAAATTATTTGCGTGTATAAATGTTATGTGTCTGCTTTATAAAAATAACAATTCCTAAAATATTTGATCCACTTTTTAGTTTCTAGATTTACCTATGAAAATTCACTGCCAAAAGTTCAAAAAACCACCGAGTATACTAGAGTATACATTAATTTTGAGGCACACTAAGTATGTTGCATAATGTATTGTTTTAAAAGATTAACACATACATATACAAATGTGTATGTGCATATTCACCTATACATATATTATGTTTCAGGTTTAATACAATTCTTGGTCCATGGGAAACAAGACAAGGTCACTGCTTTAAGAAAAAGTAATTTGAGACTTCACAGTTTAGCAGTGAAAATAAGTGCAAATATATCAATAAAAGTGAACATATATGAGGTAATTTGCATATATTTAATTGTCCACCATAAGAAGGTTCTTTGTAAACATTTCCATCATATTTATCCCATCTATTTCTCTTATCTCTTCATGCTCCTCTTTTTCCTTTCTCCTTCTACCTCCCTGGTAGTTATCCCTTTAACTTTCATAACTTTGTTGTTTTTATCCTTTAGCTTCTACAAATGAGAGACATGTAATCCTTAAATTTGTGGGACTGGCTTATTTCCATTCACATGAAGATCACCAGTTATATTCATTTTCCAACAATGAAATAATTTTATTCTCTTTGATGACTGAGTATATGAGTAAAACTCCATATATAGGGGGGTGTGAGGCATGACATATATCTCACATTTTCTTTATCATCTGTATAATATATATATATATGTATCACATTTTCTTATGCATTTTTTCTATCTATTGAGGGGCACTTAGGCTGACCCTTAAACATTCTCTATCAACCTACCTATAAAAACTAAAAATTACACTTCCATATATGCTGACTTATAGATATTATCACTAGAAACAAGTTTTTTTTTAGAGAATTCTGATTTTCTACCTAAAGTAGCCTCGTTAAGTGATTGTGATTATACTACCTAAGCCAAAGCAAAACCAAAGCCTTTCACTCTCAGTGATACTTATAAACCCCAAACTGGATTCTTCAAGCTGTTTCTGAGAAAAGAGGTCATTCTCTCTCCTTGGTGGCAGATGGTGAGAGATTGATGGTGTGGACAGTATCAGAAGCAGTAATTCTCAATTTGTGAAGAAAATCCGTTTAAGGTAAAAGAAGAGAGAACTAACAGAGAAAATTAAGATAAGTTGTAAGTAGAGTGGGGACACAGGACATGGATCTTGAACTGGAGCTGCCTGTCATCCTGCCCTACAAGTGATTTGTTATTTTAACCCTTTTCTATGTTTTCTGAGAAAATATACTTGTAGTCCCCTTGTTTAAATACATATAAAATTGATAAGGAATTACTTTAATTTATGCTTCATAAATGAAGAAAACTAGTGAATGTGGCTATTACAGTGTGAATGGAAATCTAGCTTGCCCAACTGCACAATGATCTTAAAACCACAATTTGAAATTACCTACTCTTTCCCTTTGCAGTTGCACCTGTTCAGTTGTCCATATTTCACACCTTATGGTAATCACATTCACAAACATGTCATTCTACTTTTACCGTGGTGAATAAGGTTGATTTAACTATGCTTGTGTTTTCAATGAAGAAAATTAGTTTTAGAGATATTATAACAAACAAGTGCTGAGAACCAAATTGTAAGTCTAGCAGTGCATGCTTTGTGTTTTTATAGCTCATTACAGTTGACTGAGATTTTCAAGTTAAATGACTTGAAAATTGTCAAGCCCTTAATGACAGTCTTTCCCACTACTGACAAAACATTTCCATCCAAAACCTAGAATGCTAACATAACCTTTTAAGATTAAGATGCTAAAGAGTCACTTCTATTTATTTTCAGGATAAAAACCAATTCTTTTCCCCAAGTTTACTCTAAATTATCCTTTCATTTCTAGTAGTGTTCATCTCTGCCAGCTGGGAGAAAGCAAGTGACTGATTTTCAATACATGTGCTTTATTCACAGTGTATGTTTCATGGTGTGTGGTTAGAAGAAATGTTAAGTGCCAGGGTCCTCTGTTCTAGATCCTCTAATATTCCTTAGCTTATTTCAGCTCCTTGAGGCATACTTTATCTACCAAATGAAAAGCAAGTAAGGAGGAGAAAAGTATCAGAAAGTACTTGAAAGTCATGATCTTGTATGAGTACAAAACTGAATGGGCTATTAATACCTCTCAATTGTGCATATTTTAGCTAATGTGTAATTAATCCTTGTACCTACTATGTAGGATATCCTCTTATCTGGCTTCCCTGACTCTTGGTTCTCTCTCTTCTGAGAATAATCCACATAGATGCTAACATTTCAATATACAAATTTACTCATAAAATTTTCTGCTTCAAGTTTCTACTGGTTTGTTATTGTATAGAGGACACAATACGAATTATTAGTAGGTGAGGATCTTCAGCTTTAAACCATTCCTCTATCCTTTAATCCTGAAAGAGAAACTATATATATAAATGTGTACATATATATATATTGCAAAAGAATATGCATACACATACCATATAAATTCTCCTAATGATAGAACAGATTGCATCTTTCCTGTCTTAAATAAATATGTACCCTTTCTACTCACTCCAATATTTTCCATTAGGGAACTGTTCAACAAATATATTTCCTCTAATTGCTCAGGTTTTAGTGAACTATGTGATTTTAGAACAAATTAATAGTTCTGAAATTTACTCTAACATCAGCTAAATGAAACTAATTAAATTTTGAACTTTTTGATCAGATATTCTGTAATCAATGTCTGTTCAGGAAATAATGTCACTGTCTCACATCTGAACCTAACTGACACTTTTCTATGCAAATGATTTCAACTAGACTCATATTTTGCATTCTAGCCTTCTAATAATTACTGGCATCTAGGTGGACTTTTAAGTAATTTATTGGCCTGTAATAAAATTTGGACTTGAGGATCTATAGATGTCATCCAATTTATAACATCTTATAAGCATTTGATTGTTATTTAAGTAGGTTAAGTATTTACATAAACAACTATTGAGCTAATAGAAGTATTATGGCATTAAAATAGATTTTGTCACATTGGATATTCTTTGGAAGTGGTGTCATGTGCATTTTATCTCATTGACATACTGTTTACTAATGTGAATTATAAAGTAAGTATGAATATTTTCAGAAATGTTTTTGTAAAATTTTAATTATAAAGTTCTTTAGATTTTTAAAAACTATATTAACATAATGTTTATCAAATATTACACAAAAGACTGAAATATGAAGATTTTATCTATATACTATAATTATCAGGAATCCATAAGAATAGGATACACATATACAGAGTCTCAGCATTCTAACGAAGAAAGACATTGATACAGCAGCCTAAGTTCAGGAGCAAGCCCATGGTCAATCACGCCTTTGCTTCACCATTTGGTGCTTTTCCAATCACTACAGCAGCAGCTTTGCTCACCTCACCCTGTTTCACAGGACCAGGAGAATGTGTTCTTCCATCAGGCTAGGACATTTTTCAAGCTCAAACTGCTAACCCAATATCTAAAGCCTTGATATCTGGGGCCAGTAGATGTAAAATTCTTAAGAAAGTGCCTCAAACGATAGGAGAGAGACTCCACAAATGGGACTAGATTAAAATAAAAAGTTTCTGCACAGCTAAGGACATAGTTACTAAACTAGAAAACCACCAACTAACTGGGAAAAGATCTTTACCAGCAATATATCATATAAAGGCTCAAGAAACTAACCCCTCCCAAATGTAATAAACCAATTTCTAAATGGGCAATTGAGCTAAGTAGAGACTTCTCAGAAGAAGAGGTAAGAATGGCAAGAAAACACATGAAGAAATACTCATCATCCTTGGACATAAAGGAAATGCAAATCAAAACAACTCCAAGATTCTACTTTACCCCAGTTAAATTGGCCAACTTTGTGAATTCTAACAACAAATGCTGGCAGGGATGTGGGGGAAAAGGATCCATATTGCACTTTTGGTAGAAATGTAAAGCAGTACAACCACTCTGGACAGCAGTCTGGAGGCTCCTCAAAAAAGTATGCATAGACCTTCCCTATGACCCAACCATACCACTCCTGGGCCTCTACCCTGAACATCATGAGACAGGTTACAATAAGAACATTTTCACATCTATGTTCATTGCTGCACTATTCACAATAGTGAATAGATATGGAAACAACCCAGATGTCCCACAATAGATGAGTGGATCCAAAAAATGTGGTACCTATATACAATGGAATTTTACACAGCAATTAGAAACAACAAAATAATGTAATTTGCAGGGAAATGGATGGAATCTGAACAAATTGTGTTAAGTGAGGTAAACCAAGACCAGAGATAAATGGTCTATGTCCTTCCTGATCTGTGGAAGTTAGATCTAAAATGCACTGGGGTATGACAAATTACACAGAACTCCAGATACTCACATAAAGTGAGTCCAAAAGAGGATGGTTTTAGGAGAGGATCACAAAGGTGAAATACCCAAGTGCCTCTTCAGATACATGCAAAACAATATACATAATGACGCCAATTGCAAAAATATGGAAACAAAGGACTTTCAATTTGTTTTTCATTTGCATATGACTCTGAATTCTTTATCTTACATAAAATGTATTCACATGCACATCTGGGAAAGGGTAGGAGGAGGGCTCAAAATCA